CTTGCCTCGCTGACAAATTAAGCTTCCTATTAGTTGTACATGAAGAGGAGAAACACGGAACACACAGGCGTGGTCCTCCCAAGGGATCCCCCAGGGCTCTGGGGACCACTGTTTGCAATCCCAGACAGAATCTCTGCACACCAAGTTCTACACCATGCAGAGCGTCCCCTGTGGATCTTGTGTGCAGGGTGCTCATGGTGGGTTCCACTAACAGGAAAAGGCAAAGCTGAAATTCCTCTTTGCTTTTATGCCCCCCTCCTCAAGGAGTAAGAAAGAAAAAAAAAAAAGAGTTATGGCAAGTAGCAAGGAAATGCTCTTCATCTTCTGTTTTCAAAGCCAAGGTCCGATACCCAACTGCGACCAGCTCCCTCCATGTGTCTCCATCCCAGGCAGAGGACATGCCTGCCTATGGCAGGAGCCTGGGTCTACACCAGGACTCTCCAACCCGGCCTCCTTGGGCTTCTGCCTCCTAAGCTGTCGAGACGTGGAAGGATCTGGAAGTTCTACACACGACCTCTCGATGGTGCCTCTGCCCAGACTGGGAGCGGGTAATGATAACCACTGTGGGCACAACCAGGGCGACCACAGGAGCCTAGGATTTCCTGAGGGCCCACTCTGCTCCAGGCCTCCCGTTGGCTCCAAGTGCATTACACTATTAGTCGCTCTAGTCCTCCCCACGGGCCCTGTGCCTGCGGGGACACCCTACCATTAGGTGGGCATGAAAACCAAGGCACACCAGTGTTTAACAGCAAGTGCAGAGTCCTGTGGCCGGGGAGTGGTGGACGGGCTATGAAGCAGTCGCTGCCTGGCTACGACGGGACCGCCGCGTGGCGCGGCACTGGGCTGGATTCCTGACCAGGCACCATGAAACTCTGACGCTGGAGACTGGGATCACTCAGCCAGCAGGATCCACCTTCACAGGACGTGAATTACCCTCGTGACAACGTGCCCAAACCATGTCACAGACAAGCTGGCTGAGGCTAAAGAGGGCCTCTAGGGCACCCAGTTCCCACCTGGGGGCCGTTCCCTCCCGCTCTCTCGTTGATGAGCAGTGGGAAGAGGACTGGGCCTCTTCTGGAAGATGCAGGATGTGAGGCTGGGGGTGAATGCAGGAGCCAGCTGGGGACACACCATGGGGGCTGGGTGTGACAGTGCCCATGCCCTGTGGTCACAGAGTGGGCTGTGAAGGATGAAGAAGAGAGAACAATATCCCGGCCTGTGTAGGGTGGAGGCAAAGGCTCTGGCTACCTCGTGGGTCAGCGCATGGCTAGAGATGCGCTCTTCCCAGAAGCAGGAAGCAGGCGGGCATCTTACGTGGACCAGGTGCAGATGCAACAGAGGAGCACAAATCCAGACTCCACCCAATTTAGCGCATGTGAAAGGGCTCCCTGCAAAGACCAGCGCAGGAGAATGAGAGAGAGAGACCCCATGCCCCCCCAGGTAGGCCGGGCAACCGCGTCTCTTCTTGAGCCAAAGAAGGCTGGAAGACATTTTCTTTGGATGTAACCGCTGCTCTATGCAAATAGGTGAACATTTAGAAAATTTGGTATTCTAGCCACCACGGGTCTTCAGTTTTCCAAAATTTCACATTTTGGAACGAAGACACACCTTACGTGGTCTCAAAGCCAGGTTGGACTTCGGTTCTAGACACACCCTGTGAATTCATCTGTCAAAGACAAACTTCTCCGCCCCCGGGAGGAAGCGCCTTAGAGAATGCCAGGCACCTAACCGCCCCGGGATGCTCTCGGGTGAAGCTGGCACGGGCTCCTCGCACGCCCTGCAGGGGAGCGAGGCAGGTGGGTGCCAGGGTGCCAGGGTGCCAGGGTGCCGGCGGTGACTTCACCCCCGTAATCCTCGGGGCACGTGTGAATACCCAGCTTCCCAGATGATCAGTAAGGTGATAGCGCCCGGGTGTGAGCCCTGCTTGGCACCAGTGGAGCGAGGCTCCCTTGGGCCACTTGCGGTTTCGCTTCCTGTTATCTGCACCTGCACCGATGTCACAGGCAAATAAAAAACACCCAACAAAACCATATTTTGGGAGCTTATTCAAAAGCGAAGAGAGAGAACCAAAGCAAGTCAACCCAAGCTCCGAAACCCAACAGCAGCGTCACCAACCCGAGGCTCGGTGCTCAGGCCCCATTCGCAGGTCCGCCGGCCTCCTCCCTGCGCTGAGGATCCTGGCCCGGTTCCCCATCCTCCCAGCCTCTTAGATGCTCAAGGAGGGGCCTCGGCTAGGGAGGAGGCCACTTAACCAATAGGAGCAGGGCGAGGGAGGAGACTTGGTTACGTAAGAGGCCGCCTAACCAATAAGGACAGAGCTAGGAGGAGCCTTGGCTCAGTCAGGGGCCGTTCAGCCAATAGGGACAGAGGAACACTCATCACAGGTGCTCACACACACGAGGCCCCTGGACTCCCAGGGCACCAGGTGTCACATCCTACCGGGATTACATCATTTGATCCACAGACAGAGGAGGTGAATTCTATCATTATGTCCTTTTAAACGCACATGTATGCACGCACGTTTATGGAAGATGAAAGCAAGTCAGAAAAGTTTAACAAGCTGTAAGTCATCCGACGAGTGATACAAAAAAACCTTTTTAAACCCAAGTGGGCTGAACTGAAGTCCTGGCCCTTAACTACCACACGACCTGAGACCAAACATGGGCTTGGCTGCACCCCCAACGGGTGCCAGGGGCATCCACCAAACTTCTCAGTCCAGAGAGTCAGGTGGCTTTTGCAGTTTGGGTTTTTTGGGATAAGTGAGAATATATTTCGATGAACAGGCAATTGATCCTTTGGAGAAGTTATTTCCTTGCTGGTTTGTGATGGAAATTGAAAAGAGGAAAGGAAAGAAACCAAATTGCCCACCAAGGAGTTAGGGACGACAGACACCAAGGTCGTTGGTCACTCAGTCCCGAATGCGGTAGTAGGGGATGAAATACAGATGGGGAATGACAGCTGGGTGGACTTCAGATTACAAACTGACCTTCCCCAATAGGCTGGTTTCCCAGGGAGACGCCATGCACATGGCTGGTGTTAAAGCAACTCCCCCGTAGAACATCTGTAATGGGAAATCACTGCTGGAACGTTTTACTCTGGTTTTTACAATTCATTGTGCAGTCCTCTTTGCCAAATACACCTATCTTTCCCCCCGCTCCCCAGGGGATGGGAAGGGAGGCTACACACTTAACAAGGACTTCAAAGGAAGACATACTCAAGATGACACCTGCCTTCTAGCCTCATGGAAAAATCAATCTGCCACATCTTAATTCAATGCTCAGGCTAGAAAGAAAAGGTTCTGGGGGCTGAGGCAGGAAGATGACAACTTCAATGCCAGTCTGGGCTACTTGGTGAGACCCTGCCTCAAAATAAGGCAAGCAGGACTGAGGATGTAGGTCAGTGGTAAAGTACCCCTGGCTTCTACCGAAGAAAGGGAAGAAGAAACAGGGAAGGAAGAATACTTTATGCTTGGTACGTAACTAGCATATTTTAGGTCGTCAATAGGTAGCCAAAAGCCCCCCATGTGTTACACAAGTTGCAACTCTGCATTGAGACAACTCGCTGACCCTGGGTGCTGTATACTTAGTAAGTGAAAGGCGGAAGATGATCAGCGACACAAGTTTATTGACAAAGAACATCGGGTTTGGATGTCTAAACGATTAAAATGTCTGAGGATGTTCCAGAGTAAACCAAGGGGAGGGGTGAACAGCAATGGTTCCTGGCCCAGGAGTAATTTGGGGTCCATTAATGAACAAATGAGGAATTAATAAATAAACAAGTGAAGGAGTGAATGAATGGATAAATGAACCCGGGTCCACGTCACGTCCCCAACGACGAAGGCAACAACGGCTCTGCACTCTCCTCGAGCGCTAGAAAACCTGCAGTGACGTGAGCACCCGCACCTGTCACTGACCAGGACCAGCACGCAGGTGCGCCAAGCACATCTCACCAGAGTCAGGTGCATCCATCACCATGGGGAGTGACCCACAGAGGCACGTGCAAGGTCCCTCCCGCTCCCTGACCTGGGGAGCAGCGGTTGGTGAAATAAAGGCGTGGAGAACCGTGAGTGGATCAGCAGTAAGGGCTGGGCCGACGGTGAGCTGTCCCAGAGCCCTGTTCTGTCCCCAGTGGACCCAAGGCCCAGACAATGGGGTGGACAAGACTGACACAGACGGCCAAGGCCAACAGAGCCAGGTCCCCAGCCTGACCAGGAACCCCGTGAGGCCTAACGTCAGACCCAAGTAGAGCATGGTTTCTGACCCCAGTTGTGACGGGCACTCTGGGCAGCACGTGAGAGCTGGACAGGAAGGCTGTGGGGTGACGCCTGAGGAAGGGCGCCCACAGGGGACACGGGCTGTGAGGGTCAATGCCAACGGATTCTCAAAGCACCTCTCCTTGAAGGTGGCGATCTGCCTGGCGTGTCCCACGCAAACAGGGGACTGTCACTCCCAGCTTGGCCCCTGGGCACTCCCCATTGGGTTGTCACACCCCTCCCTCCTCAGGAAGCACCCCTGGCAGCACTCGGTCCCCTGGAAAGTGGTGCACACCAAGCATCATGAAGAGCCATGTGCTGGACAGACAGGGCAGCAGGAGAGGGGTCTGCGGAGGGGCAAACCAAGAAGGCTCAGGTCACCTGGCTGAACTGGTCACCTTCCGCCATCACACACACCAGAGAGGATGTAAAGTGCCAGGAGCTCACTCCCCGGGACACACAGGCCAGAGGATGATCACTTACCACTGAGATAGAGCCGCCACGGGCCTTCCAGGGGTCATGTCGCCGGGGCACTGTGTGCATCTGCTCATGTGCCTAAGCAGGCGCCACCCGTCACCACTACTGTGATAAACTAAAACTCAGAGGCGGAGTGGCTGGCTCAGGAGCCCCACACCACCAAGTGGCTGGTGAGAATCAGGACACGTGATGGGAGAGAACAGAGACGTTCCGGAATATGTCCACATTCTAACCCTCTATGACGTCAAAAAGAATCCGCCCTCGGGCTGGGGGCCTGGCTCAGTGGGCAGAGCGCTTGCCTCGCGTGCACGAGGCCCTGGGTTCAATCCCCAGCACCGCCACAGAAAAGAATCCAGTCTCAGTTTCCAACTCACAGGGACCCACCCACACTAGGGAAGCTCATCTCATGTCATTCTGTGACCCTGCCCCCACTACCCAAGACGTGGGACAGCACGTCCACGGGCGGCTTTGCGTTTCGTGTGTGTGGTGTGGGTGACAAAGGGTGCCCTGGCAGAGAGAAGCCACCGCTCATGTGATCACTAACACCAAGGAAAAACTGGAAGCTCTTTACTGAGGCTGCCTTCTGATGCTAGGCCCCGCAGATCTCTTCCAGAATAAGCCCCAGGGCAGATGACAATGAAGAACAATGGCAGTGACAACAACAGGGGTCCCAGGTGGTGAGGTCCTGGGAGAGGGCTGCAGAAAATGGAGGGTGAGCCGGGCGCGGTGGCACACACCTGTCATCCCAGGGACTCGGGAGGCTGAGGCAGGAGGATTCCGAGTTCAAGGCCAGCCTCAGCAACTCAGCAAAATCCTGCCTCGGAATAAAAAATTAAACTGGAGATGTGGAGATTGTAGCTCAGTGACAGAGCGATCCTGGGTTCAATAACCAACACCAAAGGAAAGCGGAGAGGGAGGGAAAGCAAGAGCAGGACACGCGTCCTCCCAGGCCTCTGCACAAGCTGCAGAGAACCCCAAGCAGGAGAGGACCCACGTGTGGTCTGCAGTGTGTGCCTTGTACCCCAGGAGGAGGTGTGTTCTGGGCAAGGCATCTGCAGTCCAGCCTGGATTCCGTAACAGGAGCCAACACACAGGAGCCCAACTGGCTCTGCCGGTCCCATCCCCATCCCCAGTTCCTGGGGAGCAGACCCTGGTGCAGAAGGAAACGCTGCAGTCCTCTCAGCAGGGACAGCTCCTGAGATGTGGCCTGTGCAGTCCCACAGGCACCCCGTCCGCAGAAGGCCCTGCTCTTGGTTTAATGCTCTGCGGCCACCATCTTGAAATTCTTCCTCATGTCTAGCAGGGGACCCTGAAGTTTAATTTCACACTGGGCTGGCAAGTAGATAGCTGGTCTCTTTCCACTTTTTATTTGCTTTGGGGGATTTCTGAAAGCCTCATAAGATTTAGAGTCTTCTATATTTTTACAGACAAGTTGTTTCATGGGCTATTTACACTCTGAGACGGGACTCGGTTGTCCTAGATTCTCCAAAATTGATATTTAATGCAGAAAACAAGCTTCTTTTTCACCTCATCCCCAATACATGCTCTGACCTGCAAACCAAGATGCACTCAGTGTAACGGTCAGAGCGTCAAGAAAACCGAGACCCAGGTGTCCCTGAAGCCTTCAAAGTGGGTACCAGGGCCCAGCACGCAGATGAACCTCCAAGAGCCGTGACAGTGTGAACAACTCACTAAAAATCACTTCCAGATCCTCACGCTCAGGGTTTCTCCCACACTCCTCCAGTACACGCCTCCATCTCTGCACGTGCCCATGTGTACGCACGCACGCACGCGCACACCAAGTACAATACACACATCCCCAGCAAACACTGGCAGAACCCCGGGCCTGTTCTATCCTTAGTCCCACGTGCATTTCCAACACCAGAGAGACCATTTGGTCCGGATGATGCTGTCCTCAAATAGAAGAAGAAAACCAAATATAAATGCCTGCGCCAGAAGACCAAGTAGGTGCCGATGATTATACCCAAGGCTCACGGTACAAGAAGAATGCTACTGGCAGGGTGAAGAAAAGCTCGTGATCAAAACAGAGACGGCACAGGAGCCGTAGGTATCATTTTTAACTAGTACACACGCGCACGGTATAAACACAGACACGCACCCTTGGAAACACACGCTCACATACGTACGCCAAGGTGCACATCTGCATGGCCCAGGTGACTATAAATATGGACATAGGAATGAATATCACTGTAATCCCAATGGCCAGGTGCCCCCTTCTCTGAACTGGAGTCTCCTCATGGACAAAGGTGTGGCTTGGACTGGAACTTCACTGAGCTTCTGGAGCTCTGACAGGACCCCGGCTCTGGGCGTCAGGGCAACCCAGCAAGCTCCTCCATGAACACCCCATCTGCACCCCATCACCCCGTTCTGACAGGGAGCTGTAATGCTCCTTGGGCCTGGGGAGAAAGAACAACTTTCAAGACAGGGATACAGATAGTGGTTATGGATAGACTACAACTCGGGGTTATTTGAACTACATTAGGTTTTGAATTATTCATTAGAATCCTCGGCCCAGCCAAAAGCGAGGGATACGCTGACACAGAGCAATGCAAGTTCAAGTTCAAGGGAAACGGCTCGCCTCTCGCCGGCTCCACTCGGCCCCCTCACGCGGTCCCGTGGTCAGGTTCCCGGGATTTTCCCATTCTGACAGAGAAGCCCGTTTCTCGGGCCAGGCTGGGTGACCACCCATGATCTGAATTACGCACAGGTGTTCGAAAATACAGAGGGATCCGGCATAATTAGGAGCATTAAGCAATCATCCCTGTGCAGGGGGGGGGGAGCGAAGAAAGGAGGACAGAGTGTGGGCAAGGCTTTGGGAAATAAATTCCACAGCCTTTCACCAAGTTGAAATCTTGGCTTTGGACACACATAAAAATGAGTCTGGCCTGATCTTAGCTCCAGTGGACATCTGCCAGATCACAAAATTTGACCCAATTGGCCTGCCTTAGCGTACAGAAAGCCACTACTGGAACAGCAGATGGCCCAGCCGGTCACAGCCAACCTGGACGGACAGGATAGTGGCAGAAAGATGGCAGAACATGGCTGGCCCAAGCTAGGGTGGGAATGTTTGCTTTTAAGAGAATCTTTTTGGTTATGCACTTAAAAGAAAAATAGCATCAGGGCAGACTTCCCCTCAATCCCTTCCTCTGCAGCCTCCAATCCCTCTCCCTCTCTCTTTCTCTCTCTCGTGCATCCTATAAAACAGAGCTGATTATTCTTTTGCTTTCTCCTCGTCACTACATGCTGCAGTAAATCGAACGGTCCCCCCCACGCGTGGAGGGACATCTTCAGAGAGGATTGTGCTAGGAATTCTCCTGACAGTGGGCGTGGGGTCACTGTTTTCCCACAAGATTTTATGGAGCTAGAAAAAGATGCTGACTTTCAAAGTATGACTTCTCTTTAAATAGACCATTACCAAGCATAACCTTACTGGAGATGAGAAACTCCATTTTCTTTTTTTCTTTTTTTTTTAATTAAAAGTATGGTTTAACAGGCACCACAACTTCAACAGTCCCGTGTGTTGAACACACACCGGCCGTTTAAACAGAGCTCTGTCCAAACATTCACCCTTTGTTATATTTTTCTCCATTCTTCAGGGAAACACTATCTACCTTGAGACTATTTTGTTTAACATCTCTAGTCGTTTATGCTATTTACCGAACATCTGATATTCCTAATAAAATGTCAGTACAAATAACCAAGTTGTCTAGAAGGGGGAAAAAAAATACACACACACACACACACACACACACACACACACACACAAAGCTCTTCCAGACCCTCCTGGCTGGTCTCCATGGCCCCACTTGGCCACGCTCAGACAACCACCTTTTCTCTTTCCTCTGAAGTTACAAAAGACTCATTTCGCTCAGCAATGAGCCTGGCTAAATTGAAACTCTGTACATCAGAATTAAATATGTTCCATCTACGCAAAATGAACAGTGTATGATTTATCACTAACACTTAATGACCAAAAAAAAAAAAAAAAACTGATAACTCTCTCCGATGAGGGCCCCTGATAGCGTCCAGTCTCGCACCATCGATTCCTTTGGTCATTAGCAATAATCACAGAACGTCAAGTCCGGCTTATGCAGCAAGTTTGGAAACAGAGCTGGGGAGTAGACACACACTATTTTAAAAACGTGTTCCGATTTCCATCTAAGTATATCTTTATTTATATGGCTTCCTTACCATAAAGACGCCAGTCCTTGAAATTATGCAGAAATCGCTTTCTACGCTGAAGAACAAGGTGTTATATCATAACAAGGGTGCAGAATTACAAAGCGCCTGTTAATTAAACATGGCTTTTTAACTCCCTACCCTGCATATGTAACTGTTAAGTTCTAAGCCAAGTCCTTAAATAAGAGTGAGAAAATGGCTAAGTTCCTTTAATGCTTTGCCTATATTTTTTCCTTAATGCAAGAGATCAGCCACTTGATTGATTATTTTTTCATCAAATTCTCTGATAAACGGTCAAGATTATTTAAGGTTTCTGTCTCTCTCTCTCTCTCTCCCTTTCTCTGTGTCTCTCTCTCACACACACAATATTGGCAAATGAACAAATCACCAAGTTGCGAGTCAGGACTGCTGTTTTCACATCCATCCTAAGCTGTCAGCGGATGGCCTTCCAGAAAGCCGCTTCATTCCAGGTGCACATGGAGAGACCATGTCTACAATTCTTATTCAGCCCTTCAAAGGGTTCACACGGAAGACGGGAAAACGCCGCAGCTACACGCGTCCACGTTGCAAACTCCACTGCATTTAAAAAAAAAAAAAAGCAAGCCAGGCAGCGCGGAGCACATGCCCAGGCTGCTGTGAACGGAGCCCTGGAAGGGAAGACACTCAGGCACCCACGAGGAACGCAGGAAGGGCTGTGCTGGGGGATCCCAGGACCCTGCACCTGCTGGGGAGGGAGGGGGAGCAGAGGGAGGGACAGGCAGGAGCCTCCTCCATCAGACCAGCGCTGGGCGCTCTCCCAGGAGGGGCCGGCCGCAGGTGACCCGGGTGCTTGGGGGGTTTTCTTCATTCCTCTGCAGTGTCCTACTCATTTCTTGGTTAAAAAACTTAAAAAAGAGGAGCTCACCGTTTTAAAAGAAATAGCTTTGCAAATACCTGCCCAATTTCTTTCCTGAAAAGTCTTCCTTGGTTGGATCGATCCAAGTGATTGAGGCCTCGGGATTTTATTCCACAGTCGGGGCATCAGTGACCAAAAAAAAAAAAAAAACAAACACCGAGACCCTGCATCCCAATATAAGATCCATTTCCGCTGTTTTCAAATTTGCTTATTATTACCTCATACTTCAAGAATTCTTTAACCTCG